GGCGGCCGGCCCGGCCCGGCCCGGCCCCGCGCGGCGGCCACGGGGCAGCCGGGCACCGCGGCGGGACCGGCACCCCCGGGATCCCCCGCGCCCCCGGAGCCGGCACGAGGCCTCGCGGAGCCGTGAGCCACGGGGGCGGCGGCCCCTGCGGCCCTCGGAACCCGGGATCCTTTGGGGACAGGGACCCCCGGGCCAGAGCCCCCCCCGCCCTGACCCGGGCCGGGGGAACGGAGGTCGCTGCGGAGGCGGGGCAGAGCCCGGTGAGGGCGGGGCCAGAACCGATCGGGGCGGGGCTTGATTATAACCCCGCCCTCCGGAGCCGCCCCTCGAGACGCCCCACCCGCTCCGTCGCGGCCACGCCCCCTGCGGCTGTTTCCGGGGCACGTGGTCGGAGGCGGAAGYGCGGCGGCGGCGGCGGGATGGCGGCCGAGGGGGACGTGGAGCTGGAGCTGGAGACGGAGCCCAACGGCGCCGGGAGCGGCGGCGACGGCGCGGGCGGGCGCGCGGCCGAGAAGCCCCGCAAGCACGACAGCGGCGCGGCCGACCTGGAGCGCGTCACCGACTACGCGGAGGAGAAGGAGATCCAGAGCTCCAACCTGGAGACGGTGCGCGGGGCGCGGGCGGCGCCGCCCGGCGCGGCGGGGCGCCCAGGCCGCGCTCAGCAGCGCCGCTCCGTCCCCTCCAGGCCATGTCGGTGATCGGCGACCGGCGGTCCCGGGAGCAGAAGGCCAAGCAGGAGAGGTAGCCCCGGGCTCTCCGCGCGTTGCTGCTTCGGGGCCTCGTCCCTGGGCGGCCGGGCCCGGGCGGCGCCGCCACCCCCGGCTGCTCCGCGGCCCTGCGGCCCGGGGCGGCGCCGCAGAGCCCGCGGCCCTCGGGGCGCGCCCGCGCAGACCGCCCGCTCCCCGAGAGGCGTCTCCGGGCCCTGCAGCCGTGACGGGGAGAACGTGCGGGCCGGGAGCGGGGAACGGGGCGCTCACTGCCGCTCTCGTGGCCCCTTTTCAGGGAGAAAGAACTCGCAAAAGTCACCATCAAGAAGGAAGACCTGGAGCTGATCGTAAGTAGAGGCAGGCGGCCTGGCCCGAGCCACGTGCGTCTGTGTCTGGTCACCGGAGGACCCGTCCGGCAAATCCGCGTGTGCCGGGGGCTCCGGTTGTGCTGCCGGCGGCCGCGCTGAGCGCCGCGCGCTCCCCGCAGATGAACGAGATGGAGATCTCGCGGGCGGCGGCCGAGCGCAGCCTGCGGGAGCACATGGGCGACGTGGTGGAGGCCCTCATCACGCTCACCAACTGAGCGCCGCGCCGGCGCGCTGTGCGCGGCCAGCCCTCCAATAAAGCGCCGGCTGGAGGGAGCCGGGAGCGGGATTCCTGCAGCCCTGGGGACACGCGCGTGGCACCTGGTGCGGTGGCGCGTGGCACGGTGGTACCTGGCGAGGCGCCGCGTGGAGCCGCCGTTGAATAAAGCACCAGCTGGAGGGAGCCGGGAGCGGGACTCTTGCTGGCAGTGGGAACACGTGYGGTGCTGGTGCTAGGGACACGCGGGGTGCTGGTGCGGTGGCGCCCGGCGAGGCCCCACCTGGAGCCCCTGCGGCCGCGGGGCCGCCCTGCCCCGGCGCTGCCGCCGCTCTCCTCCCCGCGGCTTCACTCCCGCACCCTCTGCGCCTGTCACTGGCTCCTGTCCCGGCCCCGGAGCTCCCCTCTGTGTCCCGCGCAGGAGCGCAGCCGCACGAGGGGCACGGGTCGCTGCCCCTTGGTCCGGCCGTTCCCTGRGGGACCCTGTGGGGCTGCGCAGCCCAAGGCTGGAGCCGGCCCTTCCCTCGGCCCAGAGCAGAGCAGCCTTCATCCAACAGGGGTGCCAGGCCCCTCTGCGCGGTCCCTGGCTCCGCATGTTCCCGGCCGTGGTTACTGCGCAGAGAGCAGGGCTGGGACACGAGCGCCCAGGTGCCGCCACAACAAAAAACAAATTGTACGAAAACAAATTACTTTATTCAAAAGGATCCTGTCCCACCCCCTGGCGCTGGTAGAAAAGCAAAGCCCTGCACGAGCAGGGTGTGGGGACAGTGCCACCGCTGCTCCCAAACAGAAAGGGGCCCAGCCTGAGCCCTGGAGGGGCGTGACGGGCGGCGAGGAGATGCTCCGAGTCCCTGAATGCCGGTGCGGGAGCCGGCYGAGCTGCTGCGCTCCCGTGCCGGCCCCGCAGGCCGCCGGGCGCTGCTGCCGGTGCAAAGGTGCGGGCCTTGGCTGCCCAAAACCGGCAGCCCGGCTGCCTCCACGAGAAGCCCCGACACGAGTCTGCCAAGTCTCTGCCGCCGCGCGTTTCACTGCTGGGGCAGGCTGCGTGCAGGAGCACAGAGGGGGCTCAGGACGAGCCCCGGCAGCCGCCGCCTTGTCCCTTGTAGTGCTGCTGCAGCTGGCACGAGCTGCCCCTGCGCGCAGCGGCCGCAGGGCACGGGCCCGCGCTCCATTAGGTGGTTTTCCGCTTCTTGGCTGAGGGCCGCTCRAAGACATCGCGCACGCCGGCCGCCTTCTGCTTGAAGAACTTGGTGTTCTGCGCGCTCTCCTGGCCCCACGCCGAGTCAAAYGAGGTGGTGTCCTGGTCCACCAGGTGCGTGTACTTTGTCCGCCCGGAGCGCCCGAAGTTCTTGACCTGCGGAGCGGAAGAGCCCGTGAGCAGCCACGCGACACGACGCAGACTCCGCCACGGCCCTGCCCTGCCCGCGCACCCACCTGCATGACTTTGGGCAGGATGGTCTTGTTGAAGTGATCCTCCAGGGTCGGGGCGCTGAAGTCCCTCTTGTACACCTCCTCATCCTCGTCCTGCGGAGGAAGGGCACAGCCGCGCAGCTCAGCACGCGGGTCTCCAGCACGCGCTGGCCGCAGGCGACGCCGCCGCAGAGCCGGGCCTGGCTCGGGGCACCACCGCACGGGCGGCTCTCCCGGAGCTGCTGCAGGGAGCTGGGGAACCCGCGGCCCAGGCTGCCTCCCGCACTCGCTCCTGGAGCCTAACCCTGATCCACAGCCAGCGTGGAGCCAGTCTGGTTCCCACAGGCTTCACTGGCCCAAAGAGCTCCAGGGAACCTCTGCTGCTTCTCAGCTGCCTCGGCTGGGAAACCTCCCGCCCGCAGAGGCCGGCCCCGCGGCAGGGCTCACCATGAAGAAGGCGCCGCGGTGGTAGTACTTCTGCAGGAACTTGTATTTGCCCTTCACTGCCTTGTTGGTGATGACCTTGCCGTTGGCGCGCAGCTCGGCGCGGCGCTCCTCCTCCGTCAGGTTCCGCATCCGCTCGATCTCCGCCTTCTCCTTCTCCATGCTGGGCAGGACGAGAACCCATCAGAACCCATCGGAACCGGCATCCCCGCAGCAGCCCCTGGGGACACCTGCTGCCGCTGGCTGCCTTTCTAAGGGATCAATCTACCGCCTGCCGGGGACAGCAGCGTGGGTGCCTGCCCTAGGTAAGAAGGGACCACACGGGCGCGAGGCTCCAGTTTGAGCTGCAGGGCGCCCGGGCACAGGCGTGAGCGGACACGGCCCTCGGTGCTTACGCTTCTCGTTCCTCGCGGTCCCGTTTGATGCGCTTCAGCTCCCGCACTTTCCAGGCCTCGTACTCCTCCTCGTCGTTCTCGTCATCTGTATCGAGGGCATCCAGGGCTGCCAGCGAGCGCTTGTTCTCCTCCAGCTCCTTCTTGGCTTCCTCTTCCACGATCTGCAGCGAGAGCAGCGGTGAGACGGCGGCCGAGCCCGTCCTGCCCCCGCCCTGCCCTGCCGGCCCCCCTACCTTCAGTGTGTACTTGCGCCTCTCCTCTGCCATCCTCTTCGCCTCCTGCTCCAGCTCCTTCTGCTTCAAGGCTTCTGCTTCTCGCTCCTGCACCGTGATCCGGTCCTTCCTGCAGACAGGGACCCCGCAGCCTTCAGCTTTGCGGCGGGAGCCCAGGCACCCATCGCTCCGGCTCCGAGCCCTCCTGCTGCATCCCGCAGCGCCCTCCCCAGCGCCGTGCTGCCCTTGTCGCAGCCGCCCCGCAGACCCCGCTGGGAGCGCAGCCTTCCTCCCGCCGCAGGAGCCTCCCCGTCGCGTCCCTGCACCACCTACTTGCGGATGAAGACGGGCTTGAGCCGCGGCTCCATCTCGTCCTCGCTGTCCGTGTACTCCTCGTACTCGGACTCTGACTCGGACTCCTCTCCCGATCTGCCCTCGTCTTCCAGCTCCATCACCTCCATCTCCTCGGTCTTCCTCTCCTGCGCTCGCTGCCGCATCATCCCCCGGCGCCGCTCGATCTCCTAATGGAGAGGCATGGACCGCGGGGCTGAGCGGGTCAGCGCTCGCAGGGAGCTGCCACCGCGCTCGCAGGGAGATGGTCCCTTGCCATCGTCTGTGCCGTGCGTGACAAGTCTGGGACGACTCTGCCACAAGAGGACTTGTCCGTCCCTCGGGATGCAGCGTGGCCGCCCCCACGCCCCCCCCGGGGCCCCCCGGAGCTGAATCACGGGCTGCTGCGGGGGACCCCCCAGCCCTGAAATTTCCGGTTTCAGCAGACAGCTGGGGCGGGAAGCGCTATTCCAGGCCGCCACGCAGGGCCCTGCTCAGCCCGAGCCAGGTACCTCATCATCGATCTCCTCCTCTTCCTCCTCGCTGGTGTCCTCCCGCTCGGGCCGCCAGGCCTCGCCCTCCGCCTCGGAGTCGCTCTCTCCCACCACCTCGGGCTCCACGATCTTGCGGTGTCGGGCCAGCCTGGAACGGACCCGGTTGCGGCGCAGGGCCCGGGCACCGCGGGGCAAAACCCGGCGCTGCTGCGCGTGGGGGGCGGCCGCCGGCAGCGCCGCCCTCCCCGCCGGGGTCTGGGGAACACGGGGCTTCCTGCGGAGCCTCCCGCTGCCGCGCGGGGCCGGGCGCGGCGGCGCTCACCGCTCCTCCACGTCCTCRGCGACGCGGTTCTGCAGGCGCCGCAGCCGCGGGTCGTTGGCCTCCTCCTCGTGCGTCTCCTCGGGCTCGGCCTCCTGCTCCTTGGCCTTCTTGATGAACTGGAACTCCTCGTCCTCCTCGTCCGAGGACTCCATGGGCGCGTAGTCGGGCCGCTTGCCCGACACGTAGCGCTTCACCTTCACCTTCTCCATGGAGAGCTCCCCTGCGGGCGGCGCGCGGCCTCAGCGGCGCCCGGGCCGGGCCGGGCCGGGCCGAGCCGGGCCGGACCCCCCCGGGCCGCCCCCCGCTCACCCTTCTCGTTGCGGACGGGCACGGCGCCCGCCGTCGACTGGATCGGCGGCTGCTTCATGAGGGTGCTGGGCACGGACATGATGGCGGCGGCGGCGGCTCCCGGCGATGGAGCAACGGCAACGGCAACGGCGGCAAGCACCCCCGCCCGGAACCGGAACTGCGCCCCGCTGCTTCCGCCGGAAGCGGAGCCTGCCCCCTACCCGCTAGCGAGTGCCGGAAGTGGCGCTGTGGCCGGAGCTACTTCCGGCGGGCCGGCGGAGGCCCTGGCGCCGCCGCGGGGGTTCCGGGCGCGGCCCGGGGCGGGGAGCGGAGCCCGCGGTGCTGCCCCTCCCCCCGCCCCGCGCGGCC